TGTGTGTGTGTGTGTGTGTGTGTGTGTGTGTGTGTGTGTGTGTGAATCTGCTTGTTTATCCTGTCGTTGTGACCTTCCCTCAATGCAGTAACTCACCTGACGTCAAAGCTTCTCTGTGTTTTTTTTTTTTTATTTCTTTGTACTTGTGGCTCCTGGCTGACTGACATTACTCCCCCCGCCCTTCACTCCTGTCTCCTCCAGTGAACAGCCTGGCTCGGTCCAAGTACTGCTGACGCCCAATCAGGAGGAGGAAGAGGACCAGGCAATGCCCAGCCAGGAAGCCGCTCAGGGCCAGGACCCGCCCCCTCCACCCTACCGGCCTCGGCCTACGCTCACCCTCAGCATCGCTCACCCCTACGGCCCGTCCAGTCACGGGGAGGAGGAAGGCGAGGACGGGAGGGAGGCGACGGGGGTGAGGCTGTGCGAGCTGCTGCAGGCTGGAGGGGTGAGCGTCAGACCCCTGGGGAAGCACTTAGCCATCTCCCTACCTTCGCTTCCCCTGCGTCTCTGGGACACGCACGTCACACATACCTCCCTCTCTGCACACCTCAGAAACACACGCTCCCCACCTCCCCCGTCACCTCCTCTGGAAACTTTGGGGCAAAGGAAACCCCTCGCGCCACTCTGGCAGCCCCCGCAGCCCCATTCCCCCGACGACAGGGCTCATCACCGACAGCAGTGCGGAGCCGCGGCTGACGGCAGCACGCGTCACTGGTCCTCCTGGAGCTTGGACCGCCCAGACGCCGTGGTGTCGCCATACGACACGCCGCCCGACCGCTGCGTCCCCATCAGGCCGCAGACGCCCAGCCAGAACTACAGCTACAGCTGCCAGTCCTCTCCAGGGCACTACAGCTCCCAGCATGCACTGGGGCGGCAGGGTAATCCCTGCTGTGACCGAGAAGAGGCTGAGCTGTCTGAGCTGGACTCCCTTTACCAGGCCAGTCTGCAGGCTGGAAGGACAGGTAAACACACACACACCTACAACACACACAAACACACACACCCATACACAAACACACATTAAGTATTAACAGCTGATCAGGAGTCAGTTTCAGAGTTCTGGCCTTTATTATTGTGTGAATGTTAGTAAATATTCATTCAACTGATATTTTTTCTTCTGTATGTTTTTGACATTTAACTCGTTCCACAATTTTCTGTTATTTTAACAATTAATAAACGAATAAATATCAAAACGTTCAGCTCGGTTATGCCATGGGTGCAAAGACTTTTGGTACTTCAGCAATTTATATAATTTTTCAGCTAATTAGCTTTTTCTGCCGTTATTTTTCTCATTGAAATTGATTAGACTTATTTTCAACATCCTTAAAACCCTTTAAAAATGTTCATAAATCTTTACTGCAGTTTTTGTTCTGTTTCTGCTTTTTACCTAACTCCTTTGTGCTCGTTTCAACTTCCTTCAACGTTTTTTTTTTCTTTTTTTTGCTAATTTTATTTTTTTCTGCTTTTTCAGCTATTTTTTCCTGTTAATTTTCAATTTTAGAGCTTCTAACTCCTTACTAGTAATTTAAACTTTAAACTTGTTTTAGTTGAGTTCTGCTCATTTCAGCAGTTTTATTTTCATTTGTAGCTACTCTGATTCTTTTTTTCAGCTAAATTTGTTTTATTTTATTCCATTTAAAATGACCTTTTTATGAACATTTCTGCTTTTTACTAGTAATTCAGCAAACATGCTCTTTCTGTGGCTTTGTACTAATTTGAGCTTTTTCAGCTATATTTTTTCCTAACTTTAACTGGTTTAGGTTTTTACAACAAATTGTGCTTCTTTTTTTGTGTTTCTGCCAATGTGAGCKTTTTTACTCCCCATTCACCACATAACTGCTAATTTCAACTTGTTTATATTGCTGTCTACTTTTGCTTTCCTACTTTCTGTCAGAGTTAGCTGTTCAAATTTAACTCATATTAACAGTTTTGCTGTAAACAYTGTCAGCTTCTTCAGCAGCTTTCAGGACAAATCTTTCAGTATGAAGCATTCACACTGCATTTTCACAGGAAATACAAATTCTCTTGTTATCAGTATTATTTGAATCTTGTCCTTCATTTCAAATCAAGTGAATCAGAGCTTTTCCATCTGCACGTTTTCAGGCTGCAGCCCATCTGAGAGACTGATATCCCGGATGGGGGGGCAGGTGCGATCCAAGACCCCCAGCGCAGACATGGAGAGGAGTGTGTACGGGGCGGACGGCACCGATCCCTCCACCTACCTCAACAAGGCATCGCCTGCTTATTRATTTTAGCAGCATAACCTGCACGTGTTCACACAGTTCGTCAGCTGGCTCCGTGTTCAGGCGTGATGAAGGACCTTTTCTGTCTCTGCAGCCAGTGATGCTGCGGGATCCGCGTCTGGGGGCGGGGCCTGATGATGGGGAGAACCAGAGGCGAATCGGACGCAGCCTGAGCGGCACGATGGTGACCTCGCGCCGCAGCCGCCTGACTGCAACCCGCAGCTTTGTGAGTAGAGCTCCCACATAGACCTGAATATAGATCACTAGGCTGAGCCCCGCTCATGCCGCACACTGGTAGCATCTGTGACAGCATGGAGGAACAGAGATGGCGTCCAAAAGAGAGAGGCGTAAAAGAAGCCATTTTTGTGAAGAAAGACCGTCCATCATTAAACAGAGGTGGAGGCCTCCGTTTTCAGTTGTCCCCCTCCTACAGCGCTGCTATTGCCAGTATCACTCCACCCCCTGTTACCATAGGTATTAATGAGGTGTCAACGATAGCCATGTGATGTGAGTATCAGTCACATGGAGGCAGCGCTTAAAAGCCTGAATTTTGTCTGAAACTCTCAGACTGAAGAAGTCTCTTGGAAGAGAGACGAAACGTTTCATTAGAGAAGAACCCGTCCAGAGGACCTAAACAATTTTTTTCTTTTTGATTTTTTACCTGGATTACTGAGATGCATCAGGACAATAATTATGTTAATTTCATTCAACAATCATGTAAAACAGCAGATTTATACCAGAAAAATACATATTTTATAAGTAACAATGATTTAAACCAGACCTGAAGTCAGCCTGTAACTTAGACTTTAGCTAGTTGAAAAATGATGACTTCAGCTAGTAATAAAGTATATTTATTATTTCTTCTTACTGTCATAAAAAATAATAATATTTATATTTAACAGTCAACAGTTAGAAAATGTTCTCTGGTTATAGGATGAAACTTGTCTCTATTAGCTAACATCTTCTCAACAAGTCAGGTTCCTCTAACAGAAACCTAAAAATACTCACATTAATATTATTTACACTCTGTAGGTCTAAATATTAATCAGACATTTATAATATTATTTTACACTCTGTAGGTCTAAATATTAATCAGAGGACAAAGTAATATTTAATAGTTTGTGTTAAATTGTAGCATGATTCAACAGAGCTAAACTCTGTATAAATGCTCCACAARCTAATATCTGTTAACTAGTTCAATAACTAACAGTGATTACATGGACTTTATAAGATWATTTTAATTTTAAACTGTTACATTATGTTCTGCTCAGATCACATTGAGCTAAATAAGATCAAATCTGCTGACTTGTGTTGTGAAATGAGATGTTTTCCTKTTTATCTTCTGTTAATAAATCCATAACACAAACAGCTTTTCTGACATTATTTAAAACGTTAGATAAATTATATAAACTGTAAAATATTAATAATAACTGGGTTAATATTATTATTAATAGTTTTAATGATCTCTACATTGTCAGTCCTTTTTTTTCTGCTCTGTTGTCAACATGTACAGTAATGGGAAATCCAGACTCTTGACTGTTTTGCATTAGCCGTTAGCTTCACCATCCGATCACACAGTCACGTGGTTTCTGCGCACTCCAGCTGTTTTATATAACCTCCTTGAGCTCCCACCGCTCTGCTGCCCCCTTGTGGCTTTTAGCAGCAGCTGCCTGACGTCCCCGCATCACGTTTCATTCTCTCCCCTACACACTTTGTCTCATTTATTTTCTGTTTCCAAACTGCTTTCTCTCTAAGGTGAAGCAGGTTGATGTCGGTGCCTCACCTTGCTTACTGCCTCTCTTCTGAGTCCCTGTTGCTATTCCATCACTTCCTTCATCATAACTCCTCTTCATCACCACCTCCATTCACTGCTTCACAGGTAAAGTTTTCTTTAGAGGAAAACAGCTCATTTGCATCTGCAGTAAACTCATGGAGTTTTAGTTGGGCTACTTTGCGTGCCACATAAATGCATTTGCATTTTTTTTTAAAGTTACTGCATTTCGAAACTAATTATCTGGCACAAAAGTCGGAAAGTTTTAATCTACACAAGGCTGTATTTTGAGAAGATTTACAGTATTTTTTTTTTATAAAAGTTTGGAGCATATCCGTGCTTTCAGTCACATTTATTATCAATTTTAAGAAATTATTTTAAACAGTGCATAGTTTCTTCTTGTCCAAGAGAATTATCAAATTCTACAAATCCATTGTAAATACAGAAAGCCTTCTTAAGTCTAGCAGCTTGATTTTTAAATTAGCAATTATGGAAAATACAGAAAAAATGTATTAAAGCACAATGAAAAATAAAAAAGCGCAGATAGCAGACAATCATAACAAAGATTGAAAAGAAAAGAAACAATAATTCCTTTGGAAGAAAAGAGAAACAAAAATATGATCATATTTACCTGTACATTAAAATACAATGGAAGAACTTTCTAAGCATCACACAAAGCACTTTCTAAACAGTTTACTATTTTCTTCTAAAAAATTAACCTTTAAAACCGAAGTTTTATGACTACAAATTCAGAATAAAAAAGAAATGCAGAAATCTTAAAACAAAATTTGAACTAAAGACTTTTAAAACTCTACTTGTTGGAAAGTGATTTCTAAAATTAACATTTTTTTTTCATCAGAAATACAGTATGTATCTGAATTAGAGATGCAAACATTGGCTGATACTATAATGCTGGGCCATCCAATTGGTGGCCTGCGGGCCACATTTCACTTCCAGGTGACTTCAGTTTGGCCCGCCAATAAAACCTTTAAAATAAATTTTCAATATAAAAACTGATTTAAAAGGTAAAATAAAATGTTTTAACAAATGCAGTGTTTCCCCATTATTGAGCAACATCCCCACTATGGGGCGCCAAGTGTAAAATAAAATGTTTATTTTTTTCATTATTTAGCTCTCTTTCTGAGTGTAAATCCTTGTTAAAAACTTTCCACCAATATTTTATTGTTATTTAGCTCCCTCCTCTTACATTTAGCCATTTTTTACTAAATGTTAAACTTAAATGCTAAATGTTAAATATTAAATCCTAAATCTAAATGTGTAAATCTAAATGCAAAAATTAGATGTTAATGTTGTTGCTAAATGATAAAGCTTACAGTTAAGTATTTCAGAATGGATCACGGAGTTTGCCGTTGATGCGCGGCTTTTGTTGTTGCGTCGTCATCCTGCGACAAAAGCTAATGCTAAAGCTGCCGCTGATGGTATTACAATTTAAATTCAAAATGTGTTCGTTGACGAATATGGATGGTGGCTGTGGTCTGGCAGTTTGAAGTGTAGATAGACACTGGCTGCAACTGCGAGTTTAATGTCTTGTAGGGAAGCTTCAGCAGCGTTAGCAGCGTTAGCGGTTGCTTTTGCCACAGAATGATGATGTCATAGCAAAAGCTACACAGCTACAGCAAAGGCTGTTTTTCCCTTCTGGAGTACGTAAAGGTAAACATTTGGTTGCAACATTGTACAAATAACTTTTACATTTTGATTTACACACTTAGATGTAGGATTAAACAATGAGACATAACATTTACATATAATAATCCAATTGAATATTAAATAAAAACTAGCAAAATGTAAGAACAGTGAGCTAAATCACAATAAAATGTTAGTGGGAATTTTTAAGTTAGGATTTTACACTTAGAAAGTGAGCTAAACAATGAAAATATGTTGATGACCTTTTTAAAAACATTTATTTTACACTTGGGCAATGACGATGAATACCCTGTTATAATGGAAAAGTTAGCCCACCCCTCTGAAACACCACAATACCAATCTCATACTGTTTTTTTTTTTTTTTTTTTTTTTTTTTTTTTTTTTTTTTTTTGTTAGTCTGACTAGATGTTTCTGATCTTTTTCTCTCCTGTCCAGGATCTGTCGGGCAGTGCAGGCAGTTTCTGGCTGTGTCTGACGGGGGTCAAACTGCCCTCGGACCAGAGTCCTGCTCTGTTTCACTGATGTCTCATCCTGTCCACCTTTCCCACGGAGCAGCAGCGCTGTGGTCCAAGACGGCGCCAMCTTGACAACCTGCAATTGGCTCAGACAGGTCGATCATATCGACACCTGTCCTGTTTATCAATCTTCTTCAAAGGACTTACACACACGCACGCACACACACACACACACACGCACACACATATCTGCACTGATGACGAGCCTCCCTCAGCACCTGAAGCACCCCGCTTAGCCTCTCCTTGCCTTTTTGCCCCCTTTGACCTTTGATTCTGTCTATGCAGTCACTCTGACCCCTTAACTACAACCTCAACCTACCCCTCCTTTACTCCCTCGAACTGTTTCCTGTCTCCCTCTGGGTTCTGTGTAGTCGGCCTGGTCCAGCTGGGACCAGAGCTCCACCCAGCAGGACCCTCAGCTCAATGGGAGACTCTTAACCAAGTAGCCACGCCTCTTCCTCTTTCTTCATGGGCATTTCCTGTTTGACGCACATGTAGCTGAACTGAACCTGTTTCAGATGGACAGCCATATTTTCTTCTTATCTTCTTATGTTTTTTTTTTGGCTTTTGTTGTTTTGGTTCCTCCTGCGTGTGGGCGCACAGTTAATCCACGAGACTGAACTCTACTGACTAAAAGTCGTGTACAGAAAAAAAATACTCATGTATGAAACCTGTATGTTCATTAATAAGACCTTATGGAATGTTGATAATTAACAAATATTGATAAAAAGTGGTACTTCCTCATGTCTGCATTTCAAGTAGGAGTGGAGTGCACTTCACAAGTGTCTAGCTGGAGTTTCTGCCCCCCCTAAACCGGACCTAATGACAGCTCTCCCGTTTCTACTGGGAGATTTAACAAGAAAAGCGCTTCCCTTTTCATTTTGTTTCTTTTTCTCTGCACCTTCACCTCTGTCTTTTCTTTCATTTAACCTAATTGCGGTATTTAATTCTTGCTTGCTCTCTTTGTTCTGAACGGGAAATCTGCGGTAGCGCAAACAGGCCAGCAGGCGAGGAGTGTGGAGAGGGAGAATGTAGAGGAGGGAAACTCGCCTCTTAGGCTTTTATCAGTCGAAGCAGACGAACTCAAGTGCACTTTGCAGGAAGAAGTGCACTTTCCGGAAGGTTCCTTTTTTCTTTTTTTTCTTGACCAAGAAGCAGGTGAAGAGAGGTTGGCGGTGTTTATTTTACTTCGACGCCTCAGGTGAACTTCATTGGCACCTATAAAGTCACTCTTTCTTATTCCTTCTCTCCCACTGAAGCAGGTTTTGAGACCCAGACGGGAACAAAAACGGCACACATTCAGCCTGATCCAATACCATGTCTGATATAAATATGCTTTATATGATGAATATGTATTAGAGGTATATTTTCAGCCAATCATCTATCTTGAGAGATGTCAACCATTCCTCGGTGGTATGAACATTCATGAGCCCTCACAAACGAGTAGCATTCTGACACGTGTACGGTACATTTATTATATGCTTTATTCTATATAAATGAACAAAAACCTTATGAAGCAAATGGCCAATGTAAAGTTTTGCAAGAATGTTGATTGATCCTTGTAACTAAACCAAAGGTTGGCACTTAACTTGTTATTTTTATTGTTCACTTAGGTTCATTACTTGTTGATCTTTTTGTTTTGTTTTGTTTTAGTTGTGGATGTGGGAGAATGTAGCCAATTGTAGCGCATGAGTCCGCTATGCAAATTCCCTCACAGTATCAGAGACAGTCAGGAGGCAGACACACCCACCCACTGGGGCAGGGGGGCTCCCATGTACGAGGATGAGGAGGAGATCTCATGTTTATTGCTGCTGATGTTGTTCTGTACGTTTCGGCTGATAGAATGTGAGGATGGAGCAACGAGGAGGAGGAGGTGACGAAAGTAGAAATGGAACAACTGAATGTAAACTCGATCAGTGTGTGTTTGTGATTGACAGTCGAAGGCGGAGAAATGTGGGGAAAAAACTACWGAAGATGGCCTTTTTTTGTGGGTGTGTGTAGACTGAGTGTGTGTCAGTTTCGGGGATCGTGTTGCTCGGGGAAAGAGGGAACCTGTATTTTTGCAATAAAGTTATTACCAATGCACTCCCGCAGGGGGCGTAACCACCATGACCTGTGTGTGTGTGTCTTCATTTGGGGAAAGATTAGGAAAAAAAAAAAAACCACTTTAGGCAAACAAAAAAATAAAAGCACTGCAGAGCAAACACATAAACATCATGTTCACAAAATTTTTATTTAAATGACATAATCATATCTAAATAGTTGAATAAATTATTTATATAAAATTCAAACTACTGGTAGATATTTTTACAAGAATTCTGAGCGAAATTATGTTCTTTCTTTTACTTTTGTTTAAAACCAGCCAATAAAAATGTAAAATGTTTTTTCTTCTAGTGCATGCAAAATGTAATCAGAAATTTGCTTTTTATTTACAATCTACACAACGTCCCAATTATTTTGTTTATAAGGTTGCAAATAAATTAACACCTATTGATCTCACCAATCAGGTTTACAGTGTAGAATTGGTACTTTTACCTCCTCTGTTCTCTGAACGTCTACAATTATAGTAAAAATTTTTTTGAATCATCTGAATTACATAAGTGGAGCAGGGGTGTCAAACACATTTTCACTRAGGGGCACATGAGCATCATGGTGGTCCTCAAAAGGCCACTTGTAATTAACTTGTACRTTTTGTGTTTAACTTTGACTAAATACAAATTACACATTGTCTCTTYACTACAACTGAGCACTGCTAAACTAACTGAGCTCTATGTGGTACTTTGTGCATAGAAACAACATTTTAACATGTCCTCTTATAAACTCTTAAACGTACTGCGAGTACAGACTAATGTGAAATAAACAATACAGAAATACTATTAAAAGTAAAAGTAAGAGAGTTTTACTCACTGTTGAATGGTGACAGGGAATTCCCACTGGAGGAGCGTTCAGTTAAAATTCACGACTTGTAAGTGGGAAATTCCCACTTCCCAATACACCTGGACTGGCAAGAGATTTTACACTTAAAATTTGCAGACTAYTGGCYAGATTTGAACCCTGTGCACSTCCATCAACTGGTGGGATGTCATCATTTTGCAGGTATCAACATGCATTATGGAATATGTAATTTTGGGTCGATGCTGGCTATAAAGCAGCATATGCTTATTTTAGGACATTGATACATTTTTGAACTTCTAGCTGGCAAAATAAAATTTTGTGGCAAGCTACATTTGGCCCACAGGCCTTGGGTTTGACACGTGACATGGATTAAAAGAAGTATTTGATTTATTCCAAATGTTAGGACAAATGTGGCTAAATACCTGTGAAAAAAAACAATCTTGAAAATGTTAATAAAATTGCAGCTTACCAGAATTATATCAGGATAAAAAAATATATTTTCTGAAAAACAGGCATTTTTCTATTTTACCACTAGATGTCAGGACTGATTTACTTGTAGCCTGCTGCAGCTGCTCATTTTTYTTATTCGCAAAAAGACTCAACACAGTTTAGACTGAAAAACACACACAGACACGCATATCAGAACATGTTGCAGGAGCTCGGATACTCTTGAGCTGCATAGTTTGCTTTGCAMGTTGAAAATATAATTAAAAGTTTGGTAAAGCTTTTGTTGAGGAAACAGAAGGCAGGGATCCCTAGAGCAGAGCAATGAAATGGTGATGGATCAATAACCATTAACGCTCCCTCTCTCACACACACACACACACACATCTGGTACACAGAGTGCACTTGGTGGTTCCTCCGTGTGTGTTGTTGGAATGCTCGGGTCGTTTCAGTTCACTCAGACAACTCCTACCTGCTCACATGAAGTGGCAGTAATAACCTGAAACTTGTTAAAATGCAAAGCGCACCTTCTTCCTGTGAACACTGGTTCAGGAGCATCACTCCAGATTGCAGGAGATTTCAGCACAAGGACTGGGAGTCGAAAAGCTGAGGCCGAATATGGAGAAAAAATCAAACAGTTCTCGGTACATGTTTAGACTGTGGTCCATTCTGTTGGCAAATGAACAAGAATAACGTCACATACTTGTATAATAAAGGAAAAATAACATTTTAATTGAGAAGAAAGACTTGAAGATTACAAATGAGGGGCTTTGCTGCTGGAGTGTCCAGGATAATTAATTAATAGGTTGCTGGTAGAAGTGGCTTTTAAGAATGTTCATCATTCGTTTGGGGACTAAAACAACTGCAACAAAACAAAGAACGCACATTAGAGCAAACAGACCTATCATTCGTCTATTTTGAGCTGAATAAAAATAAATCAGTTCCATGAAACATGACTCATTTTTTAAGAACCAGTGGAATAGTTTGATGGATGTAAACAGCTACAATAGGTTAGTTGCCGTAGCTCGGTGGTTAGTGTTAATGTCTCCAAATCCTGAGGCTGCAGATTCAAGCCCAGGTCAAATAAAAATTGACAGATTTTCTGTGTGACAACCTCTGAAGAAGGGCGCAACCAAAAGTACAGCTCTAAAAGAAACTGTCATTTAACCCCCGTACAACAGGCTGGTATAGATTCTCAATCATTTAGGACACATTACAGACAGAAAGGCTGTTTCTTTGAACCTTCAGAGCACTTCCTCAGAAAATGAAAAGGAAACAGCATGCTTCCTTTTACCTGCATGAGCCCTTTCAGGGCAGACAGGATGGGCTTTGGCTGCTTAAAACTCAAATCATGTTCATATCTCACATCTTATTCTCATCAGCGATAACAGAAGCATGAAAAAGTGTTTGACTGATCAGCTGTGAATTACAATCTGGTAAATCATCCCCAGCCTCACCGTATGTTTGGATTCTGCCTGTTTTCGTTCTGATTTAAACCCTCCTGCTGCTTTTATGAAACACATTTATACAAATTTACACCTGAAACCATCATTCAAACCTGGAACCAGACTCGACTTTATTAGAGGAGTTAAACAGTAGAGTAAAATWAATCCATCAAAAGACTGAAAACACAAACTTTCACTTCAGTTTTGATCACTGGATGTCTGTTGGAGGTGATCACAGTGAGGATGCGGTGGTTAAAGGAAAAGCTGAAGCCAGTTTATGTCTCACAAATATGTTATTGAAAAGAAGTGGGTCAACAAAGATAACAGCTCAGATGATTCACTTTCAGGGTACAAAGTGTCTCTTCAAGATACGGTTGCCTGGAAGAGAAAAAAAACATCACATTAGAAGAAACAGATTTCAAATCATGCTTTATATGAAAACATTGGGAAGAACTGAAAGAGAAACTGTGAAAAGAATTTGAGCCGTTAAGACAATTGAGCCCACAGGAATAGAAACCAAACTGTTGTCAAATAAAAACAAACTGAATAAATTTATCGTTAATGCTTAAAATTTAAGACCCACTGTTGTCAGACTATAACTGAAATTTYATTTCATTTCAACAATGCCGATATATAAACACTGCTGTTTTATAGTGCTGCACATTATGTGATTAAAAAAGTAGTTTGGGCAGAAAAAAAAAGTAGAATCAAGAACTATCAGCTTTGAAAGTTAAAAGGAAAGTCAAGTCAGAAAAGAGAAATGAAGAAAAACAAATAATTTTCATGTGTTTTACTAACTTTGTTTATTTTGTGGTTTACACACACACACACACACACACACACACACACACACAC